TATTAACGAATTTTAGTCTTGCTGTATATCTATAGATATTTAGATACATTGTTCCATGTAATTTCTTTAAAAATATAACTCTCGCTTCTGATATTTATGCTGCATATGATTGTTAGATAATTAGGTGCGATTAGATAATATATTATCTTTTTCAATGTTATCACGTATTGATTTAGTATAAAATATTATTATTATTATTTTATTATTAATTTATACGTGTAATTAATTTTGATTTGTAGTGAAGAATATTATTTGGCCTTTGAAAATATATATCTTTCATTTCTTAACATTGCTTAGACAGCTAAATGATGTCTTTTGTATATTTTATGAATATACAAGCGATATTATGTTTTGTAATAATGCAAGAAGAATATCGTAAATTTTATAGTTAACTACAAATATTGCATTTTTACATGGGGTTCAAATGGACTCTGGCAGTAGTACAGATACGGTATGAGTGAACCTTAGTATCTAATAGTAAAAGGAAGGGAGAAAGGCTGAGGAAACGGAAAAAGATTTGAATGCTGGTCAAGCGGCTTTGTCGATACCTTGACCTTATCTTGACCACGGACTACAGTTCGGCTCGTTTTAAATCCATGTACAAACGTTTTTGCGATTTTTCGAGATATCAATAATTCAATTATTATTAATATCTTGCGGATGTATGATGCGTCAGATAAATAATATCTATAAGAGACTCTCTTGTTCTCCATTGCTCGATAATATCTCGATCGATAATATTATTATAAGCTATTAGTGTACAGAATTAAATTAAATCGTTGAATTATTAATTTTTCGATATAATGCAAAATTCATGGAGCATAAAGTCGAAAGTTCTTCTCCGTTCTATGTGATAGAGCGACTAACGCGCGGTCATTGCCTTCGTTTGGAGAGTTTGACCGGCAGATTCCATTGTACCAAGAAACGATCTTCTTTGAGAGCAATCAGTTCCATCAAATACTACTTAAATTAGATTATTAGGGTATTATTATCATTAGAAATTATATGTCATTTACTGAATGCAATTTAGTTGGCTGAAAACATTGAGCATTATTCTAATTTTATGTTATCAGTTTTAATTCTTCAATATTTATCTTAGCAATTTATATACTATTGTTTTAATTTTTAAATAGCTGGTAGTATTTTTTGTTAACTTTGTTATTCTATATAATTTAATGAATTCAGCACGCCCCATATGCGTAAAAATTTTGTATTTTTTTAGTTTTTTTGTACATTGCATTTTGTGAATTCAAAATATTAGAATGCATACGAATAAGTTTAATATGAAAAACTATATTTCAAAAAATTAATAAATTTCTTTCATAATATTAACGCGCATCGATATCTCTTTAAGCAATCTCAAAAGTTAAAAATAAAAATTATGTAATAAATTTTTGTATATAGCATAACTGTTAAACGGTTTTCTTTTATTATCTTTTTATATTGGATAGCAATGATGATTAAAAGAAATGTCTATACGGATATCATTTTGACATACTGACTCGGAGTGCCTTGTACGTCCACGGATAATCAACTATTGTGCTTAATACCGAGTTCACGATTCTCGAATGCCGCACGTAGCCGTTAATAATCCACTGATAACCGCGCTGACTCAGCGGTGTATGCATTACGCAGCCTCGTTGCTGCTTGCACGGAAGAGTTCGACTGCGAGGCGACAGCAAAACATTCTTTTTCACTGGTTTAAGAGTAGTAGAGATTATATAGAGGTAATATATTTTTTATTTTTTTTTTTACGTAAAGAGAGAAATTATAGAAAATGATATATATAAAATATTAATGCAGTATACAAAAATTAGATGTATATATGATAATATTTTCTCTCCCTCCCTCCCCCCCTCTCTTCTTCTCTCTGTCTTCCTTATGGCTTTGCCACTCAGATGAACAATTGACACATCTTTGACAGCGCATTTTCGTATGCCGATGACAGTTTGGTGAAACCGGACGAACGTGATCGTGCGTTGCGTTCTACCATTGCATAATCGAGGTCGGCTTAATCTTCGATACTTCCAAATAGCTTCCAAACGATCATGACGTTAAAATGACGTCTCATTTACGGTAGCGGAATTTTTTATTTATCTTGTTTCACTTATCTTATCTTTAAGATTTTTCCATCGTTCTTGATTCTTCTCTGTTTCACACGCAACGTTTTATCGCCGTATTATTTCCCCTTTATTTGCATTCCATTAGTTACATTCTCCCGGCTACTTAATATTCCTCTTCCCGTATTTCGCGATTTTCGTGCGGAATACACGAATGCTGGAAAAACCAGCGACGGGTATTTGAGCTGTTTGAAAATAGACATGCTCGTAGGGGCACGAAGGAGTGGTCGATTACTCGTCGTAAGCGCCGTTTAATTGTAATGCACATCGTGACACGTGTCACGGTATGGCACGACCGGTCACGCATTCACGTTGATTACATCGACGACATGCGAATCTACAAGCATCCTCGTACGTGCCATTTGAGCACCGTTAATAAGGCTGAGAAAATGAACGTAAGGATTAACTGTATCGAAAAAAAGATTAAAAAAAAGAGTTACTAAGAGTAATTAAGCGTGCAAATTCGTTCGACAGAAATATCTGGAAGATATTTTCATTTAAGATATATTTATTAACATTACGGTACAGCTCGATACTAAAGCCTTACATATTCTAAATCAAAGCTGATTCTTTTATTTTCCCATGCGATAGAGCATTTCAATGATTAATTCGTGATGAGGTAGTAATGAGATAATAATGAGAATTGTTAATCATATACAGTGATCGAACAATTCGCTTCAATTATCGTGGCTTGAGAAACGCCTATGTAAAATACCGGATTGAAAGGATACGGACGCGATAATTCGCGGTGCTGCTTTACACCAGGTACGCAGGATTGATATGACATTCAATTCCGCAAATGTCAATGGTAATTGGAGAGCATATTATCGATCATTGTAGTGCCGATCATCCTTTATTTTCCGCGTTTGTGTGATGAGAATTTATGGTTTCCCTTCCCCTTTCTACTCTCTTCCCCCCCAATCTTCCCCTCGATCTTTGATGATGATAAAAACAGCAGATACACACAGAAACCAGTCATTTTTCTATCGCGAGTATGCGCTTTATCTAGCTGGTGCACATCCTTTTCCCTCCATGAAAGGACTCATGTAATGATCGTGTCATAGTGTCAGAGATACACAGAGATGCATCTGTATTTACTTTTGCTACACGGTCTCACGAAATAATCGCTTCGCTCGTACGAGGAGAGTTACGTAAACGAGAAAATGGAACACTAACGACCATAAGATTGGTTACACTGTACAGATCTCTCTAGACAGAGAAGAAAACAGCACTTTTATACATCTATGACTGTTAGATTCAAATAAATTTTGTTAATAAAAATATAAAAAGGCAACACAATATCGGTCTTACGTAATTTTTATTATTTCCGTTATGGTAAATTAAACGATAAATTTCAGTACTTGTTTTTGTAAGGCTGACTAATTTGGATTAAATGTTTTCTCTATCGCAGTGAAAAAAATAAGTTATTGAAATTAGTAACGTAGGAAAAAAAAGAGAGAGAGAAAAATTTATGAACACATTTAAAAAAGATTATTTTGTACACTCAAGCTGTTTCTTTAACTCATATCTAAATTCACCTCACATGATCGTACTGTTGTACAACTCGTGCGAAACTATCAGTTTAACGAAAATATCGAACGAAGAGATAAGACAAGACGGAGAGTAATGTGTGGGTCAGTTCGAGCCGAACGAATATGCCATTTGAATTTTTAAGCACTTTAACAGAACTGTCAGCGATGGCAAAATTGCCGCAAAACGGAGACTCTGACGTTGTTTGCAAGGACGTCCCATAGGTGTAAGTCTCACGCTGTGTTTTAACTAAACCCGAGCGACATGTCTGGTCGCGCGATTCGAAAGTGCAAAGCGAATGGAATTTTTTTTCCGTCCCATTCCTCGTGACGATGCCCTCCCGCTTGCGTACGATTTCACCGTGCGAGAAAAAAATTCCATCCGTTTGTGTTCCCAATCGTCTCAGAGAATTCTTCTCGGAGGAGAAGCGCGCCGTTTTACTAGACGATCGCACGAACTTCGGATTTGAAGAAACCAATCGCTAACTGATCGTTTAATATGAGCGATTAGAATATTTATTAATTAATGAGGGAGTTAAGTCGTTTTGCAATTGCTGCTAGAATCAGTCACTTGGCATCGACACTTTTTTTTCTCCTGTTTGTGTTACGAACGATCGTGTTACAACATTTATCAGCCTTGAAATATATTCGCATTTCACATTTGCTGTTGATCGTTTGGAGTTAATATTTATTTATAGAAACTTTTATTTATAAACATATTTTACTTGATTTTTAATCCCTACTTCTCTCATGGAATTAAAAAAAAAATCTTATTAAATCCTTAAAATTTTAAACCCTTTCTTGCTATTCAGTGTTACATACTAAGACTCAAACAATTAGATGTAGTAAGTATGAATGATTTGTCTCGTTTTGCTATTTGTATTTTACAAGAACTTCGAGACCTTTTTATGAATGGTTTTTTCATGATATTCGAAGTAAGAAGCAATGATCGAAGGCGATATTACATACTTGTCCTTGCGATGAATATTTACAAGTTTACTTACACGCGTTCTCTCTCTCAACCATTGTGTACTTGCACAATACACTTGCACACGACTTCGTATTGTCGGAGATATCCTGTTAGATAATTACAACAACGGCAAATCTTGATTTGCGAACTATACGCATGACAAGGTAAGAGTAATTAAAAATCCATCTCACAGAGACGCGAATAAAACGGTCGCGTTGTTTTTTTTTAGCCAGCATCGCGCCTCTTTAATTCGTACCTAGATATTTCTACGGGCGATGACCGCATACAATTAACAAGTTTCCAAGGAGATCAGTGAGAGTATCGATCTTGACGTAGCAATTTACGGATGAGCGTTTTATAGGTGATGTAAATTCAGCAAAAATGGCGGAAGACGGAGAAAACGAGATAAGCAGGCCAGCTCGCTTACTAAATATCTTATCTCATGAACTCACGACTGGCAATCGCGGTTTTCGCCATTGGCGAACAATAATTGCACAGTTCGCTCTGTACACGCGGAAAAAAGTCTACACACCGTCCGCGTCTTCTATTTTCGTAGGGAAACATGTCAAGGTAATTAAACGTTTCATCACAAAGCCGTCCTACGAGCGCACGACATCATCTTGAGATTGAATAATCGCCGCAGTCGCAGTCGTCTTTTATCTCTCCGCGAGATTCGCATCTTCCTCCATTTGATCCGAGGAGGGAATTGTAGGGTTTGTAGGTTTTATTGCGGTGTTGTAAAACTCATTGCCTGTACACGTGTCTCTGGTATAGAAAGGATATATTAAATCCGCGGTGTATTCATTCATCGTCGCTAATTTGTGCGAATCCTCGTATATGTTGGTAACTCTTTCTAACATCGCGGTCTCTCACGGTTTCTGTACCCGTAGTGTAATTTGCGATTATACCGATATATAGTCCCCCCAGCGAAATACCTTCAGTCGTCGACACCGAATGTATATTATGAATCTAACCAATCCAAACCGGCTTTCACCGGCGACGAATTGCCTTAATTCCACCGGTTGCTGGCCAATTTATTTTCACGATTGGGATTCGTAGAGGAGATTTAATCGGCCGCGAGATAAATCGTTGCCTCAATCCCTCTTCTAATCGTACAACATAGTGGCGCCGAAGACCCAAAATTTTGCGCTTAAAAAATAACGCAAAGGAAAGGAACAAGATATCGGAGTCACGCGATTAGGTGAAAAATGTATTTACATAATCTATATATATAATGT